ATATGATTATAAATGCTTTAAAGCAGGGAACAGATCCTGCTGGGTATCTTCAAGCAGTAACAAAACTCAGAACCTATGTAATCCCCTTTGAAATACTGGTTTCTCCTTACATACAGAAATGGTGTTCTGTGCTGCTGAGTTACTGTGCTTCTTGTGTACTGGTGTGCATTGAATTTATCACGGTAGCTAGGAAAGCCTTACTCTAAAAACCTGTTTTTCCTTAAAAAAACCCAACCCTTTATTCATAGTCCTCATAGTTGTGGTAACCACTTTGAAAATATGAACCAGACAGTGCAAAAATATGAACCAGACAGTGCAAAAAACTTCTGGTGCAAAAAGACCTCTTGAAACAATAGCACTAAGAGGTATGAAATACTGCTTACTTCTTAAGGGAGTGTTAATTCTTAACTCCTAAGGACAAGTTCGAGGGAAAAAAATTAAACGTACCACCAAAATAAAAACATACAAAAGAGAAAGTGTCTTAGAAGCCATAGTAGTCATGGTTGCTATTCAAAGCAAGTGGTAACTGTAAACTCACTTTCTACTGACAGCTACTATTCTAAATTTCCAAGTTGATGCTGGCCACTCAGGTACCTCTCTTCTAATGGATAAATCAAATAACTTAGCAACAGGATTTTCAGATAATCTTTTTCTGGTTTTTGAAAGTTTACCTGCACTGCAGGATCCCCCAGGAATGCATTCAGTTTCTTCTAAAAGGCCAGCCACACGTTTCAAGCAGCATTTAAATCCCAGGTAATGTGCAATCCACAGGCTGCAGACAGCCCTTCGTCAAGAGGAATGATGTGGAAAATGGGACCTATTTTGTTCTGCTTTATTGAAACCAGAGACATCCCCAAATCAGAGGTATTTAAAACATTTATTGGCGTTAATCGTTGTAGGTTAAATAAAACACAAAAACTACATTTTAGGGCAAAAAATATTATTAGGTATGATACAATTAATATGTAAAACAGAAGGTAAAGTATTAACAGATTGCAGCATCCCATATATGAAGCGAGTGGGTCCAGCCCAGTCAAAGCCCTTATATAAACAAAACAGAGGAAGAGTACTTAGCAGGTGATTTTAAACTTACAATTTATCACTGACTCTCGTTTAAATAATTAAGGGTAGGATAGTAAAATATATCATCACCATACTGAAAAGGTCTGATTATAGTCAGAGTGCTCCCATGTCTATCTAGTCACACTTATCACCACGTGCCATGAAGGATTAGTGAAGACAAGGGATGACAGGTAACTTCTCTAGGTATTGATACAAACCCATGTCACACTAGCACTTCAGGTAGACCTGCTGTACCACGAACAAAAATAATCAATTTTTTTTCTTTTCTTTTTTTTTTTTTTTGAGAGTAACTTTATTACTTCCGAGTCCCAATTCTTGGATAATAATGGCCTTTTTTAGATTTCTCGGTCTGCAAGACAGACTTTTTCTATCATATGCCATTTTCATGCATAAGAATGGCAAGTCAACAATTGTACCTATGTGTATCTCCATCTTCTTGCTACCTTTGATCCGTAACTTTAAGTTCATAAAGGTGAAATGACCGTTAACAAAAAAATGTACTTACAGAATACAATGTGCAGTATATGAGAACCAGACATAGTGAAAAAAACACTACATGTCAGCATAACAATATAAAACTGTACTTATATACACACACATATGCAGAGCATATATGAAAACTAGTTCCTTCGGAATCTTGTTTTTAAACTAGTTCATGACAAGCCAGAAAAGCAAGTCACCCACCACTGGACAGTCACAGTCTTGAGTCACGGTGCAAACAAGCTCCACCAAACATCCTTGGCACTGCAGCCTGTGCTTCAGTCCTACTGCCAGCTCTCTTGAGAAAACCAATCTTGGACAAATCCAGCAGCAGCTGGCCCAACCGAGAACTGCAGCGTTACTATTATTATTCTTATTATTGGAGCAGATCAGCTACAGAGTCAGGTGCTCCTGTACAGTAATTTAGCTTTTCACCAGCCATTAACTACTAAGAGGAATTCCAGTTGCTGCTGAAACTTTTGACTCTGAGTTTGGGGTTTTTTTGTATGTCATTCTTCTGACTGTTTATGAAGGGTGGTGGTACTTTCCAAGCAACACAGGCAACAAAAGGAAGCAGAAATCATGAATTTTACATTTGAAAATCACAATTTTTAAAACAAACCGTTCCCCTATTTGAAGAGGCAGGTTAAAGCTGCAGTTTAGCTTTGACAAACAGCAGAGAGGCAACATCATCGTCGAAGGCGAGCCCTGTCTCCAAAAAAACCATGAGCTGCTCTGCACAGCGCAGTAGCCTCTTATTTTTTCACCTGTGACTTCAGAGTTCCTTACTGAAGCTCACCGTAACCCAAATCTCAAGAACTTATACAATCAGAATCCTTATTCATTTAAATCTTTTTCTTGACTAAAAGCAGAATAAGGTGGTTTAGATTTGGCCCACCAAATGCAAAAATATCTTTGAGCCTATTTAGCCAGCATTTGAATTTTAAAATCTGCCAGAGATCCACTGCAACAACTTCCAATTTTAAACTACTTTAACATATAAACCTGTTCTCATTCACATACAGCTCAATAGCAGCTCTGAGAGCTGGTTGTTCAAGACAACATCTACTCCATACAGATCAGCACCAACTGCCAGTTCTCGCATAAATTAGAGTAGACAAGGTACTCACAGAATTGTCTTACAAAACTTCCAGACATCTCAAGTAGGGTTTGACGAGTTTCGAGATGTCACGTTAAAAAAAAAAAAGAAATATGCCACGAAGATTCATGAAAGCTTAAAAATCAGTTATGCATAACTACTATATGTTGAACTAAAATTCATGACACCTTTAAAAACATGGGTTCGAACTCACCTTGTTTTCTTGGTAACAGGTCTAGCCTTTTACTGGGTTTTATTTAGGAAGAACCAGATCTCTTGCAGCATTGGATTATAGATCCCATAAATTATACGAATTTGTGATGTTGATAAGTTTGATATTTCTTTAGCGCTGAAGGCCAGGTTAACGTCTCCCTCCAGAGCCAGTTGAAAGAGCCAGGCACCCATGGCAGACTTGCTTGTACTAGGATGGGATGAAACGTTCCCTAAAGGAGCCTGCCTCCCTCCCCAGCTATCAACAATGGTGGTTGCTGAATTTTCACTTAAACCCTGCGTTATCTGTCAAATAGTTGCTGCACTGAAGCAGCGACGTGGATCATATATCAGCACAGGTGACAACTGAAAGTTTACTTGAAATATCCTTTCTCATGGTAGCTGTCTGAGTCTGTGTATTATCCAAGGGCATATTTTCAAGTATGAGTGCTTCCAAAGGAGTCTAAAATATCTGAGAAATGGATTCTATGTGAAAAAACAATGCAGCTTAGATTCTTAGATAAAATCCGGTGGAACATTTCCCACCTATAACTACTTCAAGCCCTCTGAAGACAAAGAAACGTACCTGTTGATATCATCTGGCTCTGTTTCAAGCCCTAATAATTAGTGCCATTTTATCAAAGCCATCTCACAACCAAGCAATGAGGTCTGGTTTTTATGTATAAACACAGAAACCCAGCTCTAGCCTGCCTGTTCATGATTTATGGTGGAAAGCTGTTTTTCCCTTTTGTTTGCTTTTCCTAAGTCCTCCAACAAATGTGCAGTGAGGTTAATTTTCCTCATAAGAGAACAAATTAATGTTGTGGAATGCAGGCTGGGCTTTGGTTTTGAAGCCTGCATTCTTACCCCAGTTCCGATTTCCAATTAAATTGATGAAGACAAATTCGTATTTTATCATCTCAGTCACACACATTCATAAAAGATGGAAGTGGAGAACGCATACAGTTCTACATTATCTCTAGTTCATAACCACCTATTGGATTTTTTTTTAATACTGTATTTTCAAGTGCATCAAGCTTCAAACGTATCATGCAGCAGGTCTTCCATACTGCATCCCCACTTAGGTGAGAAGACTACTCCACAAATTCACAGAATTGCATTTATAAAGAAACACTCTGGTTTGTTTTATTAGATTCCAGCCTTTAACCCCAAATTCTCTCTTAAGCTGTTTTTGTACAGAAATATCGTTCTTCCGACTTGAAGGCTTCTTGGAGCACTGCAGTGAGACCACAAAGGAGTGGGGCAGTGTGGCACTCTCTTTTAGAAACCAGGGAAGTGACATCTTTGAGCAGAGACGGCTATGGTCTGGGGCACTGATTTGGAGGAAACCTGGTAAGTAGTGGAGATAAAGCTGGCATTTATGGGTTTTTTTTTACAATTTCAGTAATTAATGAAGCCTACGCCCTGGAAAGGGAACCAATCCAGGCAAAGCACAGTGGCTGCGTCTTCACTTCTTTCCGGAGCAGACTGGGAACTGCATGGGGTCCAGCAGTCTCCTTCATGACAATTCCTTCTTTCACATACACAGCACCTCCTGACACAGGTTTTGACTTCCAGCCTGTAAAAATTGCTCTCGCTCATCCTTTGGATCCATTTTTTTTTTCTAGTTAGCAAATTCAGTCCATTTCTTGCTGATGTTTACTGCAAGTATGAGATGAAGCTACAGACTTAGAAAAATACAGAAGCAGAGTCCAGGTAGAAAGATGGCAGAGAAACTGTAAGCCAAAATTCAGGTTCTATGGGGTTTTTTTCACCCTATTATTACAGAGAAAACTCTAAAAACATGGCAAGTCCACTTTGCAATGTAAGAAGAGAAGTTTTTGCAGCAAATCTAAAATTTTATATATAAAAGGATCTTTTTATTAAAAAAAACCAGTCATTGGCTTAAACAGAGAATCAGAGTACTTTGACATTGTAATTTTGACAGGATATTAGAGAGGATTTTCCAACTCAGTTTTGCAAAATCCCTTTGAAGTAAAGCTTTCTGCTTCTGGTCCTTGCATTATTGCTCATGGGAAGTATTGAAATTACTGCTTTCAAGATAAGGAGCCACATCGCTGAGACCATGAAGTCCTTTCTCAGTGAAAAAAAAGCAAATGGTGCTGTTTTTCAAGTAAATTTAAAAAGATCAAGTTGGGTCAGCAGCACCGCCTACCCGTCTGTGAAGTCTGCTTTCCAAGTTTGATTGCTCCATTGTTACCATTTTCATGAGGATCTAAGGGTGGAATTTGCCGACCTGAAACACAGGAAGAGACAGTGAATTCAATTTTCCTGATGTAGTAACAACACGTGCAGATAGCAGTTAGGATGAGTTAGGTTGCATAAGAATTACATCTGTGAAACTTCACCAGAAAACGACTGTCTCCTGTGTACCTTGAATCTTTTTCCTTGCATCCTGCTTATGAAAGAAGATTTTCACATTTAAAAAAATACATGAAATATGGCTATTGAGAACGCATGAAGTACAGTGAAATTACGTTATCTATGCATATAAAAAAAATAGTTATCTCACTGAGCACCTTACAACTAAGAAAGAGAAAATTCTTGGCTTTCTGCTAATTCTACTTAAATGTGAATGGTGCTAGTTTAATAAGATCTTGCCTGTCCTAAACCTGCATGGCATTTAGTCCTTGTACACTAGAGTTTTACAGAGCACTGTAACTAAACACACGCTGCCTATACTTGAAAAAGAAAAAAAAAAAAAAATCTGTTCTTTTCATTGAATGCCTCCCTCCTTTGAGGGGTGCCCATGTCTTTTCAGTTGACAGCTTTGATTACTTAACAACACCCCACCCCCCAACCTCTCCTGACTTTTTAATCATCTTATGAGGTGATTATTTTAAGTGCTTGAAAGAATTTCAGCCATCACAGGAGAGCTAGAGATCTCTCCCGGGGCAGAAGGCACTGCTCCAACTCCCTCCCCTGTGTGCCCTTTTCATACTGCTGCATCTTTTGTCTAACTGGCTTCCTACTCATGGACAACATACAATGTGCTTAATAATTAGAATTATAAATGGAAAAACAAGATCCTTCCAGGTCCAATCTATCCTCTGTCTCTGGTGGGGGCCTGGTTTTTACATTAAACTCGTTGAGTGATCTCTCCATCAGTATCTTGGAGAGCTTACAGTCATGGTAACATATTTTCTCATTACCTTGTGGATTTGCTGGAAATTTTTTCTGAAGTTGAATCTACTTTCTATTAATTACTCCTGGTTTTACTATTACTCATGATAAATAACAACAGTTAAAATATTTAACATTTCTTTGTTATATGCCACTTTCAGAGAGCATAAAGTTCCTCTGAACAGCTTATCATAATCCAGGTGGATTTTACAGTTTAGATTTCCCTATCCTTTGCTGCATTTATTCACAGCTCTCTCTTGCCAAATGTTCTATGAATTATGTGCCTATGTTGAAGCCCGAGCCCTACAAATTACTTGGGGGGGGGGGCTGGTTGTGGGAGAGTGAGTTAAAAGCATTCAGGTAAAATCCAATCCCAATGAAATCAGACAGCAAAATTTCATCTGTAAAACTTGTCCCTAAATTACCTTTGGTCAAGCCCATGAAAATTTCACCTCTCTTATTCGGTCAGTTCTGAATAGGTATGTTATGCAACGAAAGTTGCATGACTTTTGAAACAGATAATCTTGGGTGTTTGTACAGCTGAATGAGAGGGGAAAAATTCCTCACATTACTAAGCTAAAGATACTGTATTTGGTCCAACAGAGTGAGAAACAGGTATCTTGAGGGCTGAGGCATGCATAAGCACTGACATTACAATGCTGCACTCTATTTACGTCACTGAAACATCAGCTTCACACCCTGCTTACATTATGTTTGGACTTCATGTTTGCAAGTGCCCTTCCAAAGTAAAATAAAAAGCATAATGGGTGGTTATAGACCCAGTTGTTACATGCATTAGTTCTGTTGGCTTTGCTTGGAGATAAAGAGAATCCACTAATTCTTAAAACTCTAGAGAATATGAAGAACATAATATCCATGAGAGGCTTTCCAAGAAGGTAACGCTGTTGTTGTAGAGACCTGGAGAGAACTTCTGCATTAGGTACCTACTGTTTCCAAAGCACTTCCAACTCAGTCCCAGCTAAAACAAAACGCTGTCAATCTGACTCAGAGCACAATGCAGCTAAAAAAGCTGGAATCTGCAGACATGGCTTCCATTACATACCATTAAGCAAATACTTGCTAAACATTTGGTTCTTCTAACAGTAAGTTTGGAAGAAGAGAGCTTGTAAACTAGCATAACTTTCATTTTGCAAGTCCTCCTATTTGTTTTTCATTCAGTGTTTCATATTTCTTGTGAGTTTCAGGTCTTTTCTACACTACTCTCGAGGTGTACGCAAAGAAGCAGGCAAGCTTATCTTTGGAGCAAAAACAGGGCAGGCTTCAAGGGCAGCAAGCACTTTGTCCAGTTCAGACCAGGACACGATATATGTCGTTCAGAATCACCTTGATTTATTTCATTTCTCCAAACGATAAAAACCACACAGATAACAACTACAAATAATAAGGAGAAAAAACCCTCTAGACATAATATTTGCTGATTAGTTATTCTGGCCTTTGAACTTAAGTACTGTTTGTCATTAACTAGCCATGTCTTCTGCTGCTTGGATATCCCCCCCTGGAATTCAATACAAGGAAATAAAGCTTTAAACAGTCTAAAAGTTTTTCAAGGTTGAGAATATTTTTTTTAAGTAGGCGAGTTTTCTCTCACTTATTATTTCTCTTATTTCCATATTTATTAAACCATCAAGTTAAATCATTTTAGTTTTAGTAACACGACTTATCCCTGCCCAAGCATCTTTTACCATCTGATGTGCAGTTGACAGGAGTAATTTTCTTGGAGCATAAAACTCAGTCTAACACCTGAGAACCAGCTCCGCAGCAAATGATACAGTGATTTTTCACCAAGGGTCAGGGGAAGTGGAAAAAAATAATCAGTCAGAAATCTGTTTGACCGATTGTCTCTCCCTGGGCCCCCTTGACAGCTAGTCTCACAGCAGACGCTGTAACAGAGAAAGGTTTGAGCAGCAGAACACTAAGGATGAGCAGCGAAATGCTGAGTCTGCATCTGCGCTTCCTGCTTCTAACCCAGCGCAAGCACTACTGCTACCTAAAAGCACTGTGATCATCGCATCTTGTCATTCAGCTCTTGATAAATATAGCATTGATATTGCTGACACCAACTGAAATATAGCTGGCACGGAGTCAGGATCAACAGAGGTCATAAACTGAATTCATTTTAGAAAGTATATACTCATTTAAAATGCGTATCTCACTAGCATACACAGTCTCTGTTCCAGAGCAATAAAAAATACCCCTATATTAGATAACCTACAGCATTGTTAATTTACGCTTTCATGCAGTTGATGTCAGAAAGGAGCAGTAGTGCCCTGACATCCAGCCCAGCAATCCTC